TCTACATAAGTTAGAATGTTAATTAACGATAAGTTAATTGAATACAGGGACTTAAGACGTTAGTTATTTATTTACAAACAAGTAAAAAAAATTATTAAGTAGTTTAAAGAATTCTGCAAATTTAATAAAATAAAATCAAGAAATAAATTCCTGCCAAGACTTTACATCAAAATACAATTAGTTTAACATGATAGTCCTTACCAGTTTTAACGTTGTTTTTCGATGCTCTGTCACCAAGGAAAATAAAAAGCCATAGTTTAAGTACCTTACACTTAAAGCAATGCTATGATTTTAAACTATACATATAATCTTGCCATGATGAATTATCTGTGCTTTAGAACAGACAAATAATTTAAATATTTTAAAAGTTATAAAACTTTTTTAAAAATCGCCAATTTTGCGACATTTTCCCACCTAGATGAAAATTATTAAAATCACTGCCTTATTCCTCAGTTTTTGCAAATTTTTATGAGCCCAATTAATGCAACATTGAAGTAAGTTTTTAAACATTAAAAAATTAGACCACAAACGCTCTTCATTTTCACAAAACTGCAGCTTTTCCCCATATTGACGTTTTGTTTCATTTTCAAAATAAGCGCAGACAGCGCTGGCATTAGATATAGCCTAAATTTGACCTAACAGTTATGAATAGAGCCCGGATTTTGATGACCTGAAAAATCTCAATTAATGCCCTTAAAAAGTGCAAAAAAATGCCCTGATAAACTGCAAAAAAATGCCCTTAAAAGTGCAAAAAATGCCCTTAAAATGCGAAAATAGCGCTAAAAATGCCTTATGACATGACTTAAATAGTAAAAATATTGAACTAAAACAATGTTTTACTCTTTAAAATTATTATGAGTCGTTTCAAAAATATAAAGCAATGCAATACTTGTTCTACGTTCATTAAAGTTTGAAAAATATGTTTTATATCCTAAAATAGCAAAAAAAAAAGGAAAATATATTGACTCCAAAACATTTTCATTTTGTATAGAAACTTAAATGAATATAACAACTTCCATCTCATAATATTACTAAATATCAGAATTACAGTGGATTATTAAATTTTTTTTTAATATTTTGAAATGTAAACGAGCGTCTCTTGTCTGAAAGCAAATTTTTATACCAGGAGAAGCTTCTTTCAACGTCTACTGATGTTATTGGTGCGTACTTGAAAAGGACGGTCACACTTACTGACAATTCTTCTTCAATTTGAAAAGATGCTGCTTCACCTTTTAATATCTTAGAGATTTTCTTCATTGTTTGGAAGCCAGTGTAATAATAAAAAATTATAAAAAATAATAAAAATTAGAAAAAAAATTTTAAAAAAATTAAAAAATGCTTTAAAATGCAAAATACGCCCCAAAATTTGAAGAAAATGCCCTATAAATCTCAAAAAATGCTCTAAAGGACAAAAAATGTCCAAAAATGCAAAAAAATGCAAATGTCATCAAAATCCGGGCCTTAGTTATGAATAACAGATGAAAACTCACAACTGTCATAAATATAGCATATTATTCGTAAAAAAGCTTCATTTGATATTACGACGGATCCTTCGAAAAACAGCCTTTATAAAATAATATAGTATGCTTGGATCATTTAAAATCTTTTAGAAGGTAGAAAAATCTTTTTCGAATGCTAATGAAGTATATTGTTCAGGTGTTACTGAAGTACATAAGAACAATCATGTTATATTAATCGTACAAGAGGCTAAATAATTTTTTTTTTACTAATATTATCATTCAGATAATTATATACCTGCCGAATTATCGTTCTTAACTCCGGATGAAAAAAGGTAAATAATCAATAAATTGGTATTGATCAACGCTACATAAACAGAAAGACATATACCTGCAAAATTAATGAAATTAAAATAAATCTACTTAGAAATATTGTTATTATTTGCAGTCCTTTCCGGTGACTTATTAAATTGTGTTATTAGATTATGCAAAACACGTTTTTAAAAGAATGTTCCATAAAAATAAAGATCAAATGTATTCAGTATCATTCGGCATGATGCTGTTGCCAACTTATGATAGTGAAAACTTTTAATCAAGCAACTTGTTCCGCGAAGGGTTAATGCCATTTCCTTGTAAGAGCTTTATTAAACTGCCTTCCTTACGTATTAAAAGTTCTTTTTTCCAATTATTTTATTGCTAGTTTTAGTTTAGAATAATCATAAACGATTCATAGTACTTAAAAACATGAATATAGAGAAAAATGAAGTTTTCAATTGATTGAATAAAATTTTAGATATCAGTTTCAAATTCTTTTTTGCAGTGAGAAGAACAATAACACCACAATTACAATGTCACATATGATTTGTTAAAGATATTAAAATCCTCAATTAGTTTAAAATGATCAATTTTTTTTTAAAATTATGTATTAAGGATGTTTTTAAGTAAGTAAAGAATGTTTTTAAGTAAGTAAAGGATGTTTTTAAGTAAGTTAATGATGTTTTCTAGTAATAGTGAAGTTACAAAAATGAGTGAGAACTTTAAGTGCTCTTTTACTATTAATGAAAAGAAAGGAGCATGTCTTTAAAAATTTATGGGATATGAGCGTGGGTATTTCGGTAGGTAGCAGTGAGGTAGCGTGGGTATTTCGATCCTGATAGGTTGTTGAAACGTGGCATTTATTTATGTTAGCAGCTGTTCTTTTCATTCTATTTCGAGTAAGTCAAGCTCGGAAAGCATCGATTCTTTTAAGTAACACATTCTATATTCTTTCACAAAAATTCTTTCACTATACTTTTTTTACTTAAGACATAGACAGGCACGACGCCATGTAGAACATAAACAAACTAATTATGCATCGAAGTTTCCGGGTACACAAAACAAAAATTCATCACTGTTACAATAAAATACCTAACAAATAACAAATTTAAGTTAAGTAAAAGTAGTAGATGAGGAAGAATTATATTTCAACAAATTCGATGTGAGATACAGCACTATATTTAATTAACTTCACGATAATTAACCCAATTATGTGGAGAAACTTAGCTAAACTTTAAGACGCCATTTTGATTATAAACGATCAGCTGACGTCATAGGTTAAATGTGTGGATATCGGTGATCTTTGGATGAAATAGTAAATGATCAGAAAAATAAAAACATTTCTCAGTTTTAAAATCTCGTTTACCCTTAATTGTTCTCGTTTTTTGTTTAAAAATATCTTCCTCTTCTCATCAATCAAAATAACTACGGAATGATTATTAAAAACTTTAGCAAATAGAACATTCGCTGCCCGTGAGAATTTCAAGGATTATTCTTTAAATATTTTTTCAAAACCGTGCGTAAGCTCTAAAAATGTTCAAGAAAAAGTTATAACAAATTAGACAAAAAAACTTCTAAGAAAAAAAAAATTAATGTTTTGAAAAAACTGACACCAAAAATGAATTGTAAAATCTTTAGAAAGCGCTTTCGTAGTTCTAAATTAAATAATGATAAATAAATTTATCCATAAGATTTTGAAACTAACGGGAGGTATTTTTCAAACTCCACTTTAGGGAAGTGTTTATTTTGAATTTTTATCACAATTATAAACAAATAAATTATTATTTCCAAAAAGAATAATTAGCCAATGCCATCTGCAGGCAAAATGTAAAATTAAAGAATAGTACTTTCTCAAGTTAATATAGCTAGATTAATAAAAAAAACTATTATAATTGTCATGCCAAAAATTCTAATTATTCTAACAAATTCATACAAATGTCTTTCGATTCCATTTTATCCGCAGGGCCCACAGTGGTCTGTCAAAAAAGTGATTAGCTAATAAATATTTTTTTACTTTAACAACCACTTAAGTTTTTCATCCTGAAGAAGTTATATTTCTAACTATTATGGAATTATTACTGAACTATTACTTAATTATAAATGAGATTTCGCAAATTTACGTTAGCTTCGCAAATTACGTTTCCCCGAAGTTTCGTTTTTACCGTATAAAATTACTCTCTTTAAAATAATGTATAAATTACGCTAAAATTTAAAATTTTTCTTCTTATTATTAAATAAAATAATAAAAAAATATTAAATGTTATTTTTGTGTGGAATTTAAATAAACGAATTTATATAACTGTCCGTAAAATATTTTCAATTCTCTTAAAAAGTCTCGAGATTCGACGAAATCCGCTGAAAATAAGATTAACCTAGAGGTTTAAGCACTTGACCGCTCCCCTGACCGAACTATTACAGTAGAATCATGTTTCCCAGATAGCGGTTCCACTATATATTTTAAGGGTCAGAAATCAGAATTCGCCAGGAAAATATTGGTATGTTTATTCAGAGAAAGTACGTCTAAGTGTCTTGTTTCGTAACTTAAAATATCGTCTTCACCAACTAATTAATATATTTGAGGTCACAATTTCGAACCATTAAGATTGAGTCCTAGTACGAGAAAATCCGATCACTAAATCAAAAGTTACTCAAGGTGATACTCTTTTTTATGCGCACTGTACATCGAAATTAAACGACAGTGGNCTGGGGGTGAGGGCTCGTTACACAAGGTGATACTCTTTTTTATGCGCACTGTACATTAAAATTAAACGACAGCGGCATAAATATATTTTAATTATTTTTTTTAGAAATCAGACTATTTTTATCATTTAAAGAAAAATGTGAAATACAACAAATAATTTCGGCGTCCAGAATATTAAAAGAAAAAGAAAATGGCAAATCCCAACTGACCTCTAATTTTGATCTAAAAGCGTGACGTAAAACATAGGATAGTTTTTCAAATTTTGAAAATGAAATAAGTGGGGATTTTAGCACATCCTTATTTATTTAACACTTCAGCGTAGGAAATATAGATGGCAGTAATTACTATAATGTATTTATCTCAACATTTTGAGTCAGTTGATATTCCAGTGCCTCAATTAGCATGCATAAATACTTAGTGCAAAAAGGTTAAACATGTTAATTCCACAAAATCACGAACTTTCAAAGTTGATAAAGTAGAGAGATGGGGACATAAATCAATGAAATAGGGTGCAAATGACATCTTACTTGATGTGAATAAGAGGTACACTAGAAAATCTTGTTCTTCTTAAATTAATGGCGGGAAAAGGTGAAGAAGGTCTCGAACTGCCTCCTTGTTCGGAACTATCATTGCCCTTGCCTGGTGTAGATGCAGCTGCTAAAATAAGAAAAAGAAAAGAAGATGAGTAAAACAGAAACTGCGTAGTTAGAGAATACGAAATAAAAATACCTTCGAATAAAAATATTTATAAATTACGAAACTATAATGAAGCAATATTATTGCTGAAATAAATAAAAATTCCTTTAGAAAAATGTCTATAACTATGTCGTAGTCTATGCTCTTTAAAATAACTATAATAAAAAGTCAATCTGAATTTAGAGCATCAAATGTTCTTATTATTGATTTTATTTGACATTTAACGCTATTTATTGAATTAATAACACCTACCTAGTTTACCAGTATATTTAAAGCGGAAAATAAATAACAATTTAAGGTAAACTTAATTTGTTTGATTTTGTGTGTGTGTTCCCACTTAAAAACCTCCCAGCACGATTAATAGGTTTCATACATATGTTTAAGTTGTTTGTTAGGGGTGATGGACAAAATCATTCCAAATTAAATTTATAAAATTCATAATAAAATGTTAAATTAAAAAATTAATTACTACTCTAACTATTCAAATAAATTGTTTCGATAAATCGGAAAATGTTAACAGGTTTGGTTATAAAAAATAATATACGAGTTTATTACAATTAAATCGTATTTTTTAAATATTCAGCCTTTCTAAAACAACAAATTTCGATTGAAAAGTTTAGTCAGACAAGACATTAGCAAGTTTAACCTTAGACATTATATTGTTTTTTCTTGTCTTGATATTAGAGCTGGGCACCTGGGCCGCAAAGCGGCGCCTATCCAATATATCTAAAAATTTAGAAAAGAATTTAAAGTAATAACATTTTGAATTTAGCAGTCGTTGCGGTAGTTAATAAAGGTAGACAATATATGAAGTGAGACTCCTTATTTCGTAATTGTTTAAAGAATAGTGGTTGCTAAGAAACCGTGAGCGTTTAGTTTAAAACAACTAGTTTTATATTTCTAGTATTTTGTAGCATTTGTGTTGGGATATTTCCGTTTTGTGATTTGCTATGCCAACTGCAATCGCCAAGGAGCCAAATGGATTTTAAACTTGATAATTCTTTTGAAAAAAATATGCAGGAAATTCAACCACTGAAATACAATATATAAAAAAAATGAAAACTAAACCGAAACGAAAATAAAATATGTTTGCTGAAAATGGAGTAAAAAATTTGCCTTATCTCAAAACAGTTCATGAATATGTATGACTTCAGCGGAAGTTTAATTTACATAAAGAGAAGAAGAAACAAAACATATCTGATTCGTATCTCAAGTTGTCTGGAATCATAAATATAGTATCGCCAGATGTCCCACGAAACTCGCAATAAAAAGAGTAAAAAAAGAATAAACTATAATTTAGTTTGCTACCGGAAACTGGAAAATATGAGACATGTAGGTACAAACGATTTGCAATCTACTGTTTTTAACTATTAATATTATATATTCAGTTCACGAACGACGTAGGATTCCACTTTTTGCGGGGGACGAAATTAAAATGCACATTTATAATAGTTATCTAAATTTCGCATGTATGAAAAAAAAACATTCTTAGATCAGCAAAACATCCACTGAGTGATTAATTATTTTTATCCCCTTGTTTTTATCTTTGGTGAATTTAAATCAATGATGATTCATGAAAATTTTCTTTCTTTGTCTAAAATATTGAGGGAGGTTTTTATTTTAATTTATAACCGGTGTTGAAAAACAGAAACAATTTTGAATTCACGACTATTAATATTCAACTCGTAGCCTGGTAATTTGGAACCCAATCCAGAAGACAATGGAACCGAGGAGAGGGGAGAGAGTTCTAATTATTGGGGTGGGACATACACCCACCGTGTTCCTTGTAAGCAACACCCATTATACAAGCTATTAAATTTTTCCACAAATGCAATCTAACTTGTGAAATGCTAAAATGAGTTACAATTTTAATTATCATTCCAGAAGTTATTTTTCGCTATAGGAAATCCGAAGGATTTTTGAAATTTAAAGTTTAATGAACTATGACTGTTTCGTTTAATTTAATAACAAATGCTTTAATTTAATAAGTTAGTTTAATTTAATAAGAAATGCAATACTACTTTTTTAAAATAGCATTTTTTATGGGTAGGTTCAAATTAAATTCACAGTAAGTAGAATGTATGATAGCATATTTTATTTGCGGAACTTTAATTACTATACACGATTTCTTTGAAAATTATTAACGCACATTTCTTACGGAATTCCATAATGTTGCTCATGCTATGAAAATAAATCATATTGCTTTAAAAATTTATAATTAAAAAAATTGAAAATATATAGCAGTTGTAAATACACAAGTGGGCGACCTTTGTGCTAAAATATAAACTAAGGCAAACAACGTTAAAGAGCACAAAAATATTTATAAAATACAGACAGCTGTTTCGGATGCTCAAAGGGCAACCTTCATTAATGCTTCATCAGTGCAACAACCTGTTGCACTGATGAAGGTTGCCCTTTGCGCATCCGAAACAGCTGTCTGTATTTTATAAATATTTTTGTGCTCTTTAACGTTGTTTGCCTTAGTTTATATAGCAGTTGTGTTATGAGAAATAGTGGGGTTTTTTTTAAAAATTTATTATTAGGTTTTAATAACTAACTGAAAATGTGCAAGGAATACCTAGCCAAAAACCACCTACCTACACATTTAAAAAATGCTGTTGTCTGAAAGGCATTAATTTAAATTAAGATTAACATAAAGATGGTAATTGTTCCGCTTTTTGTGATAAATATATTAATGGTGGCAAATTTTGTGTTTTAATATTTAATTCTTGGTTCAATGTGATTTGTTTTCCCACAACCGCGTATTATAATGGAAAACAACTTTTTCCCCTCTTGCGTGAGATTATTGAACGCATCTTGGATATAATTTTGCGTCTCTGATTTCAAATCTGCAATCGATATCTCTCTAAAATCTAGTTTTTATGCGATTTAATAATAAACCAGGATCTTTTTAAAGTCACCGGATTAAATACTATGTGTCCTCGCTTCTCTGCTACGTAGGGAGTTGTAGGAAAATGGCGAAAATGCATTTATGCGATATGTTAAGGACAAGTTTTTTTTGTCTTAATTGCTATTTTCAAAGGAGCAGACAAGTGTATATAAATTTATACGATTTAAACTTGTACTTTCAGGCAAAAAATAAACTATAAATTTTATTTTTTAAAAAATCAGTAGTTTTGGAAACAACATCTGAAATCCCTATACTCGAATTAGGTAAGATCAAGTTTTTGCATAATGTAACAAAAAATTTGTTCCTCAGTTTATTAAAAGATTAACGCAAATCCCACATACTTCTAGCAGGGCTTGTCCTTAAAAAATTAAAATGTTGTAATAGTATTTTAATAAAAAAGTTAAAAATATTTTTTTTTACCTTCCTATTTAATGTGAAAAATTAAAAAAGAGTTTGTTAGTCGATATGTTTATGTGTAAAAATTACGCGTAGTGGTGCACACGAATTTATTAAAATACATTTTTTTCTGGCTTCTTAAGGACATTACAAACTTTGTTCTAGTTACTTCGTAATGAGACTTCTAATTATTTTCGGAATTAATCAAAATTCTTCAAAATTTCGAGCATAATTTTCGACCACTTACATCTTTATGTATACATTTATATATATGTATAAAATTTTTAAAGAGGAGAAGAAAAATTGTTAATACACAAAATATTTTAAAAATAAATATTCAAAAATTTAAAAAAAATTAAACAATAAAAAGCTGCAAAACAAAATAAGGAGAAGATAAAATATAATAGTGAGAGTAACTGTATTGGTATATTTTGATTTGATTATATTAATTTAATCTAAGAAAGCACTTTGCGTGTATACTAGTGTGAGCTGACTACGAGAATATATCTTTCCTTGTTTTGTTTTCCGGTTTTTTCATTCTTTTTTAAATTTTTAAATATTTTCAAAAATTATTTTACTTAATATTAATTTTTCTTCTTCTCTTTAAATATGCATACATACATTTATAACTATTTCTTGGTCGAGAAAATGACTGTTATATTTGTCTTGGTAATAATGGACATATTATTTTTACCGAAAACAAGTTAGAAAGAAAATGTTTTTGCCATCAGTTTTTTTCTTTTTCCTGGCTTACAAACGGTCTTGTAGACAAACTAAATGATTTTTGATTTTTGTTTAAATCTATTTTTACGTTTAAACGTAGAATCTTGTACGTGTTGAAATATTTTAATTCCCTAACAACCAATTCGTATGCTTATAACGAAAAAAAATTGCAGAGGCCGCAAACTTTACAATTTACTAGCATTGTTTTTTTTTTTCTTTTGCTTTTTTAAGAAAAATACTAATAACAATTTCAGATTAAAAAATTTGAATAAAATTATTTTAACAACAACGACATAAATAATAAAACGAAAATTTGAAAAAAAAAATGAATTTGCTTTTGTTGCAGACAAAGATAAAGAAATTGGTAGTTATTTAACTGGTTCTTTTTTTTTAACTCTTCTTTTTTTTCCTACCAATATAAAAAATCGTTTGAAAAAGACGTAAAAGATAGTAGCTACGTAATTTTGTTAAGACTTCAACATATTCAAGAAAAAAATAACACTTACAGGTCGGCATTCTTCGGTTATAACATCTCAGATATAATCACAAATATAACATCAAAACGAGAAAATATAGGTTCTAAGTGAAACTTGGTTTGTTCGTAAACCATAAAGAGAATGAGGAAAACAGTTGTGTAAAATATGAAAGAGAGAGAGACCGAAACTGAACTTCCCTCTAAAGAGAAGTAATTGTAGGGTTAAAAAGCTAGAATGAAGTACAGTAGATGAATCACTTCCTGGTCTAGTGTCAGTTTTAAATGAATGAACTTTCTCGGCTAATATTCCAGAGAGAGAAACCCCTTCAATAAATTTCATAGCGCTGATCATGTGTGAAAAAGAGGCAAAAAATAGATTCTTTTTAGAGTAAACTTGAAAATAACCACTCGCCATTTGCCACGTGGCGAGTCAACAAAACAAAATGGCGACTTAAA